GCAATTTAAAGAGCTTGTTTGTTTTCCAGTTATCATCCAGTGTGAACTGTCTAGCCCCTGGCTCCCTGGGGTGGGGGGAGGGAGGCTGGGAGGGAAGGGCATAGTCCACTCCCAAAGGAACCAATGGAGAATTTCCATGGGAGGGGTTTGGAACTGGAGGAGACAAAAGCCAAACCCAGGCTCATGGGAATGATAGGAGATTTCATGCTCTTGGAAGTCAAGTCTCTCTAGTGAGGCAGATGGTTAACCAACTCAGACTGCTGGGCTACAGGGAAGAAGAAAGTGCAAAGTAGCCTGCTGCCTTCTGGTGGCCAGTCAAAATCTTGCAAGTATCCTCCCAAGAGCTACACTTGCACCACTGAGAGCAGCCTGAGAGGAAGCCTTGCAGAATGATGGGTGGCCTTCAGCTCCAGCCAAAGGCTGACTCACCTCCCATGAAGGTGCTAGCGTTCTCCAACTAGACTAAAAGAAATGAGCAGAGAGGACAAGATGAGGAAGGAGTAACTCCAGACAGTGAAGGCACATGCTGCTGGTTTCTGAGTCAGTGAGCGCCCTGGCTCTTGGGTCACAGGAAGTTCTTCCAAGTAATAGACCACCTGCCTGATAGATCTAAAAGACTAACCACAGTGCCTGACACGCATAGGCCAACTCGAACTGCCATGGCTATTCCAGCTTAGCCTGGGATGTATATGAGAGACAAGCTGGCCACTCTGCCAGGCTGCCCAGAGGCCTAGGACAGACCTAGCTCTAAGGATAAAGATTTCACCCTCCCCTGCCTGTAGGGAGAATCTGAAGCAGAACAAAAGGAAGCTAGGATTACGAGTACCTCACCTGTCCTTTTCCAGTACACTAGTTCCACAAGAAAATGGAGCCAACCTGTGGCTGCTGTTTCCACACTGCCCCACATCTGCCTTGCAGTACCCCATCACAATGAGTCCATTGCCAAACATCAGGACTCCACAGCGTCACCAAGGTGATCTCATCCTAGCTGAGCCTGTGAGCGTGGCTGCATTCTCTCCACCTCCACGATTGGTCCTCTCAGGAGGGCAGGGCTTTATCCTAAGGGCCCCAGCAGAATACTTTGTACTTTACAAGTTCTTAGAAATAGCTGAAGATTGTGTTTGCAGAGAGTTTACAGTTGAACTAGGACTCCAGAGGAGACTAGTGTCCTTCAGGTTAAGTGACCAACATCCCGGGGCTGGGGTTCTGGCTTCGTCACTCTAGCACGGTGAGGGTCACCAGCTGACATCCTTCTCTAGGGGCCCAAACGTCATTGTGCTCCGGCCAACACGGATGCCATGGGGATGTTGCCAGGACGCACCGCCTGCCCGCCCCCCAGCAACCCCGAAGTTTGTTTGAAGGCGGGAGGTACGCGGTGGGCTCCACCCCTGCCAGCTCCCGGGGATTGGCACGCGCCCGCCGGTTGCTATGGAGAAGAACCCGGGCAGGCCTCCGCCCTCCAGGTCCCGGGCGCACGCGCCCACGGCCACGGCCACGTCCCGCCGCGCGAGGGGGCGGAGCGAGCGTGCGCGGCGAACGCGCTCAGGCCCCGCGACCGAGCCGGGAGCCGCCCGAGCCGATCGGCGTCCGCGGCGGGGGGCCGCTGAGGTGAGGGCTGGGCTCGAGGGCTGGCGTCCCCGCCGCCGCGGTCCTGGAGACCCTGCGCTGCACGGGCGCGGCCGCGGGGTTCCCAGTGATCCCCTGTGACCCTCGCGGCCCGGCTCGTCCGTTCTCTGCAGCTCATCTTGCCCCACTGCTCATCCTGGCTGGGTCCGAGGGTCCAGGCCAGAAGGCGACTTTGCGCCCGCCCGTGCTACGCCGGGGCCCTCCTCCCCCTATCTCAGCGGTCAGCGCGGCGCGGAGCTGCCTCTGGGGCCAGGAAATGAGGGGAAACTGAGGCACGAGCGCCCTTTGAACTTGGACCTCGTCCCCAGGGGGTCGCGCCTCCCAGCCCAGGCTGCAAAGTTAACGTCCCTCCAGTTGCCCAAGGTCGTGGCCGAGGTGCAGGGTGCCAGCTGAGCAGAAGTTGGAAGCCAGGGGTGGGGCCGCGCCCCCGCCCGCCCGGCGCAGGCCCCGCGGTCCCGGTCTTCCCGCTGGCGCTCAGGCTGGTCCGGTGGCGGGTTCCTTTAAGGGCGGAGCCCCGCCGCCGCCGCCGCGCACGTGAGCGCCACCAGGAAGCTGGCGCGGGACGGCCCTCCTGGACGCCAGCTCCTGTCCAGGGACGTCTACCCCGACCCGGGGGGGAAACTGAGGCCTCAGAGGGAGCACGGGCTGCCCAAGGTCACCGGCAGAGGGGTCTTATCCCGAGCCAGGTGTCCTCTCGGGAAGATGGGGTGGCGTGGCGCTCCGAGTACAGGGTCCTTCCGACAAGCCTGACGTTAGGACCCTGCCTTTGGAGCCAGATCACTCCAGGGGGGTGGTGTCTGTGGACCAGTGAGGGGCAGAGGGATGGAGGGGCAGCGTAGGGCCCCTCCCCCTTGGACTTGCCGTGGAAAAGGGGGCGTCCCTAATGTCCCGCACAGTGGTTATCTCCTGGGATACACGAGGTAGCATTGACTGTTCCTTTCTGCCCCCAGTACCGGAGCATTTGGTCCCTGCAGGACTGGACGCCATGAGCCGCTAGAAGTGAGCCGTTCAGGTGAGCCTCTCTAGCCCCATTTCCTTTCCTTTCCTTTCCTTTCTCTTCCACGTGGGAGACATTCACATTGCCCCTTCCCCTTTTCCTACACTGACCAAGGCTCTGGGGTCCCAAGGCGAGTTCGAGAGAGGTTGGAGCACAGTTGGCTTTAGGGGACAGGAAGTGTGTAGCTGGGAGGATCCATGAGTTAATCCCGGGATAACCGGTGGTAACTCTAGAAGTGTCTAATATGGTGTAAATGCTTGAGCCTTCCAGAAGCTTGGCACAAGGAAGGAGAAAGCCGAAATGGGGCCTGCAGTTGGAACAGCCTGGCTTCCCATTGCTTGTGTTTTGACCCAGGTGGCTCTTCTAACATTTGTGTGACCTTGGACAAGTCTCTTAAGTCTTCAGCCACTCGGTTCCTCTCTCTAGACTGCTGGATTGTTATTAGAATTAATGAAATAGCAGCATTTCGACATATAGACAGTGCTTGGAGGCAAAGGAGCAGGATGGAGAATGGGTCTAAAAATGATAAACAGGTGGCCAGGAGCACCATTGGGTGAGAAAGAATGGACCCATAGCCGACCAGCAGGTTTTCAGAGGCAGTAAATCATTCAAGAGGAGATTCTCCCAGGGAGCAGCTGGTGGATTTGAACTATGTGCCTTTGAGATTGGTGCAGTTTCTTAACCACTAGGCCATCAGACCAATGTTTGGCACCTGAATGTCACCAGACCAGGATTTAGGAAAGCACTTTGCTACTATGCAACAAATATTGTGAACTCCTTGATTCCAGAGACAATTTTGCAACATAAAACCGTGACACCCCAAAAAACCTGTAGGGGGGAAAAAACCTGTGGGGAAACAAATTCTGTAGATCTAAGTTTTTGCCAGAACTTCTGAAGCGTTACCTTTTCAGCTCCAAAACCTTTTAAGTGCTTGGGGAGGGATTGTAGTCCCTCCAGTGGGTGGTATTTTCCTGCCTCCTCTAAGTCTTTGTGCTTTTGACCCCCCAGGAGACTTCAGATCAAGATTCTATGTAAGGAGGTCCAGCCTCTGCCCTCATGCTGTGTAGAGGGCTGAGCAGTGGGTCTCAGAGTAGAGGGCTCATTTGCTCTGTGTTACATTTCCATGACTGCACTTGGTCTGCTCTGCCTCTTGTGTATGTTTCCCCTTTTAGCAGTCTGTTCCCCTTCCTCATTGCTTCTGCTAATCTTCTGTGGGGTTGAAATAGTGGTACCTCAGTTACTCAGTTGGTGCTGCTGTAACAAGCATCCCACATGAGTGCCTTTAGTGAACAGATTTATTTTCTCCCAGTTTAGGAGGCTAGAAGTCCAAATTTCTGGGCACCAACTCTAGGAGAAAACGCTCTGCTTTGGGGGAAAATCTTCCAGCTTCTATTCCTCAGCTCTGTTTCTCTCACTTAGTTGGCTTTTGGCTGTATCGAATCTTTCTTTTTTTTATATCTCCAAAATTATTAGGTTTAAGCTTAAACGGATATGTACTCATTAACATAATGGAGCAAATCTTAATCCTAAGTAAAAATTACAGTGACAGGAGTAAAGGTCTTGATCGAGCATATAGTTTTGAGGGACACAGTTATATCTATAGAAATTGGGATGAAGTTTGTGAGCCTAGTGGCTCCACTATGAGAAGCTTAGTGCTGGACTTTGCCCTAACAGCTGAAACGGTTTTGTTCTGCCCTCTCTTGGTTCTGGATGGATGATCTGGACAGCCAAGGTCTCCACAGGCCAGATATGCTTAGCAAAGGAAAGTTTCCTGTGAAATTCTCTTTCTATGTAACTTTTTTGCCCCTGGAGTTTTTGTTCTTCGTGGTTTCTCTGTTTGCTAATAAGTGTTTGGACTCTGGCATTTGCCTTTCCTCCCTCTGGCAGTGATCCATGAGGCTTGAGAAGGCTGAGCTGACAGTGTGGCTCAGCTCTGAGATGAAAGAGGAAATGGGGGGAACGGCAGACGTCTGGTCTCTGGCCCATCTGGAGGGGTGACTGGCGAGGCCTAGGAGTAAGTTCTCAGGCTCCCTGGCTGACTCACTCCTGTGCCCTTCTATGACTCAGTTTCCCCTGGTGTGACTAGGGCTGCCAGCTAACAGGCAGAGCTGTGCTGAGAGCCTCAACTATTGTGATTAAGAAATAAAGCAGCTTGTGGCTTCTGTCATACTGTAGCTCTCTTCTAGGTCACTGTGTGTGTAAACACCTCTGGGCCCTCCCCTTCCTGGGTCAGATCACCCTAGGCAGGGCTGAGACAGGGCCAGAACGAGCTGGCAGGCAGGTGGGCACGCTGGTCGAAGCAGGCTGCCAGCCTCCTCTTGCCTCTATCTCCTTTGCAGCTAGCTGCCTTGGGGCACAGTGTGGGGGCCCTGGAGCCATGTCGGACTTGCTGCTACTGGGCCTAATTGGGGCCCTGGCTCTGCTGTTGCTGCTGACGCTGCTGGCCTTCATCGGGTACTCGGGGCTGCTGGCAGAGGTGGCAGTGAATGCTGGCTCACCCCCAATCCGAAACGTCACTGTGGCCTACAAGTTCCACAAGGGATCTTACAGCAAGACTGGGCACCTTTTCACCGAGAGCTGCAGCCTTTCTCCTAAACTCCGCTCCATAGCTGTCTACTATGACAACCCCCGCATGGTAAGGAATCTTTTGTGTCTAGAATTGGGATTTTTGTCCCATGTGGACCTGGGGAAGGCCTTGTTGTGGGAGAGGCCTTTTGGTTCCTAAGCAAAAGGATAGAAACATCTTTGGGTAGCTCTGAAGAACAAATGAGTTGAAGCCCCTTTTTAGCCTGAGCATCTGCTGCCTTATTACTTCCGTGGGTCAGGTTCCCGTGGCTTATCTCTGCCCATGGACCACTAAGTGTGGTCAGCTGCACCCCTGAGTTCCAAACCTCTGCTGGGACTTTGGGCCCATGTTACCTCTTCGTGCCATCTATCACTTTCGTCCCCATTTGAGGCCAGCCCTCAAAGACCTGGACTACTCAGAATCTACCCTGTCTTTGGGATCAAGTCTGTTCTCAGCTCTCTGCTGGGGTTAGAGGCCCTTGAAAACTGAAAGGCAGCTTACAGTGCCACCACTCTAGCCATTCTGATGGCCCGAGGACTTGGTGTTTCCTTGGACCACAAGGGACCTTGTTTGTGGGGGAAGGCCTCAGGGCAAGTAGGGCCAAGGGTTCTGCCTACAGTGCCCAGGATGCTGGAGCCAGAGACTCACCCAGCAGCATCCCTGGCACCCTGTGGGCGTCTGGCTATACTTATGGCCTGTAGTGAGTCAGGGCTTGCCAGTGTGGCTTCCTGCCATGCCATGGGGTGGTGTTGCCCACAGCTGGATGAACTTGCCAAGGGCTCTTCAGCTTGTCTGGCCCCCAGCTTGGCTCCAAGCTAAGCATTTGACATTCTCAGCTCCAAGTTCTTGGCATGGAGAGACAAACAGGCAAATCTACAGTCCACTCGCTGGCAGTTAGCTGGCCTCAGGGCCTCCCTGTAGCTCTTGAGTCTCCTTCTGTTTAGGCTACTTCTTTGGAACAGGGCTGCACTGACTCCCTTTTTGCTGGGCTCTGCTGGACTCCTGAACTTGAGAGATGAATCAGATCTGGCTCTACCCTCAGGAAGCACTGTGTGGTCGGCAGATCACTCCACATGAATGTTGATTCTCAAGCGAGGCACTTCTCAGTGCCCACAGAGCTTTGAGTTTGGGCTTAGGGCAGGTGCTGGAATTTGCTGGGGAGAATCCGGGAGGAGGTGGAACTTCTCATAGGAATAGAATTTTGTTCTGCCTGATAAAGAGAACTGTTAAGAACAAAGGCCCAGAGACCTGGGATGACAGATGATGTACGGCTGATGGAAGTGTGATGAGTGGAGAAAGAAGTGCCAGAGTTTACTGGGCCAGATTGTGGGGAGGTCTGTCAGGTTTGGAGGAAAGGTGTGGTCCAATTTATTGCCTTAGGAGTTTAATGGAGAGGAGATGAGGCTGAGAGATTGAGTCAGGCCCAGGTGAGAGGAAATGTGGGATGGGGTCAGGAGCTGACATTTGACTAGTTGTGAGGTTTTGAGGTCAGTGTGACTGGGTGCTGGTGATGGAGTCAAAAGCACTGGGGCTTGAATGGGGTGAAGCAGGCCCTGGGCTGTGGGAAGTTCCTAGAGCAAATGTCCCACCTCCACCCCTACAGGGGTCTGTTGTGTAAGTCCCTCTCCTTCCCCTGCCCCTCCTTCCACACCTGGTCCAGGTGGAACCCTCCTTGTAGCCCAGTGGGAGGGAGGAGAGTAATTGCAGCTGTTCTTTCCTCATTCTCATGTCTTCCTGTTCTGGAAGCAGCATGCTGCCTCTTGGGTCAGAGGTGCTAATTCCAGGATGGGAAATGGCCAAGGCAGTACTGTGGTGTCAGCCCTGGAGGCTGATCCAAGCAAGTGTGAGATGGGTGAACCCTGAATTTGGACATACTCCTCACAGCTCCCTGGCTCAGTCTCTGCCTCTTCCAGGCAGCACACTCCGCAGCTCTCTCTGAGGTGTGGAGGATCCTGCAGACCGGGCTCTGTCACTGAGCTTAACATAAACTGAGTGCCATTCTGGAGGGCTGTACCAACCTTGGGGTCGGTAGCCTTGGGTTTCAGGTCCATCCTGTCACTGTCCAGCTGTGTGGCCTTGGGCATGTCATGTAACTTCTCATTTCCTCATCTGCAAAGTGTTGGTAAAATAACCTGCTGTTATGTATGCTGATGAGGATTAAATTAAGTGACATAGTCACCCGCACCTGGCCCTCACACAGGTGTTTAACAATAGGAAAAAGAAAGAAAGAAAAAAACTTTAAAACACAACACATCACCAAAATTGGAGAGTGGCAGCTATATGTGGAAAAAGTGCATGTGTTAGGGTATGCAGAGGGATTAAACTGAGCTTTTGTGAACCAAGCCTAGATCAAGGAGCCTGCTTATGACTGGCTGGCAGGCAGATGAGTTAACAGGACAAGATAAACACTTTGATCTTGCCTCTCTCAATCCTGGATCACTCCAGGAGACAACTATGTCCTCATTCAGACCTGGGTCATTCTTTTTTTTTATTTTTTAATTTTATTATTTTTGTGTGTGTGTACACTGTCAAATCAGATCTGACTGGTACAGAAGGAGATTGTACCTCCTTCTCCAGCAGAGCATCCGGTGGATTCGAACCATGCACCTTTGGGATTGTAGTTCAGCTCCTTGCCACTAGGCCACCAGAGCTCCCCTGACCTGGGTCATTCTGACAGGGACACTTGGACCTTTACCCACTGTGGTAACTGGGCTTTGGAGATCCTGAGAAGTTCAGGAATCCACTGACCCTCCAAGTCTCAGGTATTCTTGGCCATCACACTGTCTTGACCCACAAGGACCTGAGTCCTGCTCTACCCTGCTGATTTTTAGGAAGGAGGAAACTTGGTGTTTAGGAGCGAGGGACCAGTCAGATGTTTTGCTCCCATTTGGTGGTTTGAGTACCCAGTCTGTGACAGACCTTGATGAAAAAGCAGAAGCCACGGGACCCTCAGGAGCTCTCAGTATGGTTTGGAGAGGGGAGCTTGAAGGATAGGCCTCATCCTGGTCTTGGAGAAACTGAAGGATCTTTCTAATCCTGAGCTGCCTCTCCCTGCCATGTCCTGCGCTACATATTCCAGATCTCAAAAGGAAAGGACAGGATGCAGGCATCCCCATGCCTCTTCCCTTCCTCCCTCAGTGCAATAGAAGTCAGAATGTGCACCACTGAGAGTGTAAGGAAGAAAGGATGGTCTAACTTCCACATTGGGTGGCTATAGCTAGGTTTGAAGTCACCACCTTATTTTGGATGTTGCTACCCTTATGAACTGTAAGGAAATCAAAACACAATTGCATTGGGTAAGTCTGCTGTCAGAGGCTTCTCTAGAGTTCTGAGGAACAATGATGTCAGTTTAGAGGCTAAGGTGTACCTGATCCAGACCATAGTCTTCATGATTACATGCTCTGCGTCAGAGAGCTGGGTAGTCATTAAGGATGACAGAAGAATTGGTGCCTTTGAGTTGTGGTGCTGGAGAAGAATACTGACCATACTTTGGACCATCAGGAGAGCAAATAGGTCTGTCTTGGAGAGGGTGAAACCAAGTTTCCCCTTGGAGGCAAGGATTTAGAAGCTCTCTCTCACATACTTCGGGCATGTGGCCAGGAGTGACCAGTCCTTGGAGAAGGACATCATGCTTGAAAGGGTGGAGGGACAGCATAGGAGAGGAAGACTCCAGATGAGATGGATTGACACAATAATGGGGGCAATGGGATTAGGTATGTCGGAGTTAGTGACACTGGCTCAGGATAGGGCAGGCTTTAGAGCTGTTGTCCATAGGGTCGCTATGAGTCGAAGTGACTCAATGGCACATAACAACAATTCTCAAGGGCGCTCCAGTGGCCTAGTGGCAAGAAGCTGCACTGTAATCTTGAAGGTGCACGGTTCGAACCCACCAGATGCTCCACAAGAGAAGGAAGGGTAATCTCCTCCTGTGCCAGTCAGATCCGACTTGACAGTACACGAGAATAAAAACAACAGCTCTCATGAACAGTGGACTAGCACCTCCATAGCCATACCCCATAACTGATTGACCTCAGGGAGAGGGAAAGCTGGGTCTAGCAAAGCCCGGCTGGGGCCCCTCCTGATCTGGATGAGAACCTGGGGTCTCCCTGTCCCAGGAAATAGTACAGGAAAGGGCATTCAATGGCAGAAGAGTGACAGTTGTGGACACTCCTCAGGTGTCACATGAGCTTCTAATCAGTCTTAGGGCCCTGTGTGGGAAGAGGCTGCCAGAGCTGGGTAAGCTGTTCCTGTAGGGCAGGAGGAGCAAGTCCATCCCCCACCCCCTGGCTGGTGAGGGTGGAGAGGTGCCAGCAAGCATGTGGCAGGAAGTGGGCAGACTCAGCAGCAGCTCTTAGGTCCTCTCCGCTCAGGGTCCAGCATTCATGGAGTGCAGGCTGCTTCCTCCTCACAGATGTACGCATACACATACTCAGATATATACCCCCACGCTGGTCCAGTTCCGCTCTACCCCTTGCCCCTTTGAGATGGAAACTGTTCTGCCCTCAGCACACTTTCTGAAGTGGAGGTTGTAGGCTCCCCTCCTGGGCCTGGCTCCTCTGGGCATCTTGAGGGTTGGGAATAAGCTGGGAAGACCCTGAGCTCCGTACTTGTTCCTGATGACAGGTTCTAATGGCCAGGCTACTTTCACTGTACTCATGGACACGCCATCTCTCATCCCACCTGATGCTGCTACATCTCCATTGCTGTCTGGGGTCTAAGCTGCCTTTCTGCCTACCCTCTCAAGAGCCTGACTGAAGCAAAAAAGGTGGGGAAGCCAGTTCAATTTACCTGATTAAAGTAAATCTGAGTCTGCCACTTACATCTACCACCTAGTATGAGGCATCTACGCCAGGCAAAGAGTGTTTGAGCGGACTGGTTACCTTCTTCGGTTCTGCCTTTTGAAAGCTAGGTTACATTGAAGCTCCTTTTCCCCCCTGTTTGTCCCGGGAGAGTCAAGGCCTGGGGCCATGGAGTCTGCAGGCACTGAGGCTTATCTGGTGAGAGTTCTGATTTAGGCCTGTGACACACATTCCCTTCCTTAGTGAGTGTGGAGATGAGTCCTGTGCCCT